TGTGATGAGTTTGGGTAAAACTGCATCTGAACCGAGAAGGAACCTGGGTAAGGTTGCTTCGTGAGGAGTTTGGGTAAAACAACATCTGAATCAAGAAGGAACCTGGGTAAAGTTGCTTCGTGAGGAGTTTGGGTAAAACTGCGTCTGAACCGAGAAGGAACCTGGGTAAGGTTGCTTCATGAGGAGTTTGGGTAAAAATGCATCTGAACTGAGAAGGAACCTGGGTAAGGTTGCTTCGTGAGGAGTTTGGATAAAACTGCGTCTGAACCGAGAAGGAACCTGGGTAAGGTTTCTTCATGAGAAGTTTGGGTAAAACTGCATCAGGATATTGTAAGAAGGAACCTGGGTAGGGTTGCTTCAGGATAAGTCTGAGTAAAAATTCAAAAGGAACCTGGGTAAGGTTATTTTGGGATAAGTCTGTGTAAAACTTCAGGAGGAACCTGGGTAAGGTTACTTCGGGATAAGTCTATGTAAAACTTCAGGAGGAACCTGAGTAAGGTTACTTCGGGATAAGTCTATGTAAAATTTCAGGAGGAACCTGGGTAAGGTTACTTCGGGATAAGTCTGTGTAAAACTTCAGGAGGAACCTGGGTAAGGTTACTTCGGGATAAGTCTGTGTAAAATTTCAGGAGGAACCTGGGTAAGGTTACTTCGGGATAAGCCTGTGTAAAACTTCAGGAGGAACCTGGGTAAGGTTACTTCGGGATAAGTCTGTGTAAAACTTCAGGAGGAACCTGGGTAAGGTTACATCGAGATAAGTCTGTATAAAACTTCAGAAGGAACCTGGGTAAGGTTACTTCGGGATAAGTCCGTGTAAAACTTCAGGAGGAACCTGGGTAAGGTTACTTCAGGATAAGCCCGTGTGAAGCTGCATTTAGGAGAAACCCGTGTAAGATTGCTTCGTGACGAACCCGTGTAGAGCTGCATTTGGTCGTGCAGATAATTACTTTGTTTAGTTTCAGTAGCTAATCTTGGACCTGCTGGAAATTGTTGATGATAACCATCTTTCCTGAAAAAGGTACATGATTAATTATATGTGATAGATGAAATGCATTGTGTGATGATGTTCTCAAAATAAATGAGATTATGCTGTATGCAATATGTGTGCACACGTCATGATGTATGAACATGAAATGCTATTTGTGACATATCTGAGTCTGGGAAAATCCTTAACCGCTGCTGGAGGGTATTGGAAATTGACTTCCTGAACGTTGTAGAAAAAGTGGTTCTTCTACTTCTGCTGGGAATGGTGAACGAAGATGACTATGCCATGGATTTACTCCTTTCTGTTTGTGAATATTCTACCAGGGAGAGACTCTGCTTGAGAATAACTCTGGGGGATGAACTTCCGTAACTGGAGGAATAAACTTTGTCAGGGATTGAGCTTCTGTATTCAGAGAAATAAACTTTGTTCAGGAGAAAACTTTATGACCCGCTTGCGATTATGAAATTCAGCTGGGGAATATAGATGTCAGTTTTCTGAAGAAACTTGGCTAGGGATAGTAACTCCTGTTTGGGGAAGCCGATGTCAAAGCTTTAGTTGCCTCTACTATGTGGGGAGTTGTCACTGTCTGTATTGTTGTGTGGTAGTATTGTAAAAAATATTTTCTTGATGGCACATGATTCGTTGCTGGAATGCATGCGTAATGCCCCAAGTGATTCAGATGGAGATCTACCCCTGGTTATTTGGAACTTTTGGAGAGCCTGCCTCAGGTGTGTTAGACATCATGCCACTTCCCTTGCTTATGGAATACCTGTTATTGGAAGTGTCTTTCCCGCTGAGGTGATTCTGTCCATTGAGAGGATGTTTGTTCATTGAATATCCATTGTGCGGATTTCTCTACTGTCAAACAATTAGTCATATGCAAACAATGTTATTTAAAGAATGCAAAACTCATGTCTGTCTTGAATTTTTTTTTTGAATATGTGTTTTGTGTAGTCAAACAAAATTTGCAAGAATGTGATATCAACTCGGGATTGGTAACAAGTCCTACAGGAGTCAGGTTACCTTTGTGACAGTATGCTCTCAAACTAACCCATGCTTCAGCTAGGACTTTTAAGGGTTATAACGTGGCCTGGTTCACGGTTTAAGAAACAAAGGATAAAAACTCAAAAAAAATTTGTACCCACCCGTTCTTCGTGATGCCCTTCAGTCCTATGCTCAGTTAATTGCGCGTTTAGAATCCCAGTTGAGTTTTGGAATATTGTCTTTGATGTTCCGGTGATGGTTCGGATACTAAAAATTTATTTGGAAGAGGCATTCATTTTTGTAATATTTTTTTATTTATTTGTAGTAACCTCTTTTTTGGTTTTCGTTATCCCTTCTTTTGCCTGAACTGTTTCTTTTTGTGATTACAGTCAGCGGGATGCCCCCGTTTTTTCCTTAAGTCCCTTTCATGGGTTTTGACTTAACGGGCTTTTCTTTTGCAAAATAATGACTGTCTGCTTTGATAATTATGCGTAACCATCACCATCTTCTGATTCGGAAGGACGTCTTTGAGGCTATTCATTGTGTGTAAAGCGGAAGATTGCGACTGAATGCGCCTCTGAATTAACTGAGAAAACTACCCTGCCCCGACTTATGATTAAGGGTTTTAATTTTTGTGAAAAGAAAAACTCCTATTTATTTGGCTCAAATGGGTTGACTAGGGATTATCTTCCTTATAACTCCACTGTTTAGGATTTGAAACAATTCCTGTACATCGTCAGCAGGGTCTATTCAAAAGCATACTGTAGAGATTGTGGTATCGTTTTCGTCATCCTCCCTCTAACGCTTAGAGCTTTTAATCGAGAGTTGAATATCACAAAAAGGAAGTATAAAGCAATTTAAGCATAGTGAAAACATATTAATTCAAGACAACATGTGTAATGCATTAATAAAATAATAAAGTTTTGACATGACAATAATTGTTTGAATAAACAAAGAAAATACAACTTGAGAATTCAAATGAACAAAAATGCTTTCAATCCTAGCCATGATTTGGCATGGGAGCAGTGATCACATTGGGAGTCTCAGGAGGGTCGAATTCAATCTCCTTGGCATCAATCATATTCTGAATCTTGTATTTCAGCGCCCAACAATCGTTAGTATCATGCCCCAGGCTGCCAGAATGATAAGCACACCTTGCATCCGGATTGTAGTTAGGATAAGAAGTCTTAGGGTTTGGATGAGGGTCTATCACCGTAATCAGATTCATCTTCAACATGTGTTGCAATGCTTGTGACAATGGCATGTTGATTTGGGTGAAGTGCCTTTGAGGTCTTTCTACCCTTGGCTGATTACTCCGTTGTTGTGGTCGTTGTGCGCGTGCCAAATTAGATACAAGCACTGCCCCCACAGATTGGTGGTAGTCTTCCTTATTACGCCCCTTCTGGCTGTGCACAACATTGGCTTCCCTCTTACCACCAAATGGCTTCTTCTCAGCACTAGAAGATGCAGCCATCGGGATCTTCCCGCTCCTGATACGTTTTTCGATCCTCTCTCCTGTCAGAACCATCTCTATGAACCCGGATAAGGAACTCCCAATTAGTAAATTGAAGAATTGTCCTGTCATAGTGCTCATGAACATGTCTACCATTTCACGATCAGTTGTTGCACCCCAAAATTTCCCTCCTAATTTCTTTTGGCTTTGGCTTAGCGTCGCATTCACATCTTTTCATTAGGTTACTAACATAGCATACATTTGGTTCGATAAAGTACCATGGGTTCAAAGGACCAGTGAAGTAGCAATATCATGGTTTTAAAGTAATTAGTTGTGCGTATCAAATAAAAGGTTAGTTTCTTCTTATTCTCCTAGCTAGTCTTCTATAAGCGGCAAAGCGTGGAGTTAGGGTTTGGTTGTTCATTTATTTCATATTCACTATGAACGATTATCCCATCAATTAAGACTCAGTGGATTATAGTTGCATCTCATGGGTTATTTCGAGCATCCTTCAAGTCTTATTGCCTCAACATCTCAAATAGTGGATTAGGGTTCATGTCCGTAGTGATGGCAATGGTTAATTAAATTAAAGATTTATTATGTTCCAGGCATCATTCTTTTAATACTTGTCTCTTGAGGTTGAATTGAGTTTGAAGTTATAAATTTTAGCAAGAAGGCAGGTTGATTTGGTTTTTTGCTCATTATAAATTGAAGTCGTTTTGAATCCATTATGGTGAGATGTTCAGTCATGTGGGCTATGAATTCAGTGTTACCAAGCAATCAATTGGTATGATTTAAGATTTTGGTTCATGGATTCTCTATGGCATCAAAATTGATTCATCAATAATCAATGCAAGGGGTGCATTAAGATTTCTTGAGGATCCACATTTCATCAATTCAAAGAGGTGTCTTTGGCTTGGAGTGCAAGGTGTGGACAATATGAACTTCAACATTGAATCCAATTTTTCTATGAAATTCAAGCACGATGTAACATTTGATTAAGATCCAAGTATTGATTCAAGATCTTGTTTTGAGTTATAAGGAAAGCGTCATGGTTAGTGCAAGTATTAGATTCATTTTCCTTTTGATAACATAAAGCCAAGATTTTGATTGACAATATTATTTCAAGCATGTAATTGGAGTTCAACTATGATGGAACTATGAAAGGTACATTACTTGATTCAAACATCATGTAATTCATCATTCAAGTATTGATCCGAGTCCATTCAAATAATCAAACATCATTTAAGGTTCTAAACAAGGTTCTTTAAATCCCATTCAAAATACATATGAATCCATTCAAGTGCATTTCGTCGCTCGAGTTCAAATACAAGTTCAAGGTATCGTGTAGATTATTACAAAGTCATGCTTAAACCAACTTATTATCATTCAAGATTTGAAATAGTTTAAAGATTGGAAAAGAAAAGAAGCTCAGACTAGAAAGTCAAGATGGAACAAATTTGCTTACAAGGTTTATCCTGTTACAAGTACATGGTGCCATTACATGCTTGAAGTATACAAAAGGAAATAATTACAAGGAATTTGGTTCTATGTTTCTAAGCCTAAAGCTCTAAATTCTTAAGGCCACAACTCCATGCTTTCACCAAACTGTGCATCTGCTGCTTCGTACCAGTCTTTATCAGCATACCTTGGCTTCAATGGAAGGAAACTCGATGGCCTGAATGTGCTCAGGTTTCTTCCTGCAACCAAATCCCAGCCTTGCAGAAAAATCAGACCAAGGAAATAGTTCAGCTCATAAAACAATTAACCAACTCCCTAACAAAACCATGTAAACCTGTAACAGAGGCCGGTCCAGCATAACAGAACAACCCCTTAACCGCCTCTCCAACATAATTCCTATCTTCTCCAAACAAGTTCAACTAACTTCTAAAAATTCGTAACAGAAATATAACAGAATTCTAAACTTCCTAACAGTTTCCAACTAACAATTAACAGAAAACTTCCCAACTTACTTATAACAGAATTATATAATAAGAAACTCACCTCTCTTTCTCAGAAAAAAAGGACCTGGATTGGCTCTCATTTTCTTCAACTGCAAAAAATCATGAAGATCTCTCTCTTCTCTCTACTCTTCTTCTTCAACCTTCGATGATTCATCCGCATAAATGTCTGAAAATTCTTCACATCTTCATCCACCAGAAAATCAAGAAAACTATCTCTTCTTATTCAATATAACATGCTTCTTTCAATTTTGCCACCTTCTTCACCAACTCTGCTATTTTCTTCTTTCAATTCTGAACTTTCATCATCGATTCAAATCGTAGTTCCACATCATCTTCAACCATTCCGCTTATCACCGGCTCACACGTCGAAGCTGTGCGACATCACAACCTGCATTTCCTTCACAGTATCAACGCAATTTCACCTCCATCGATTCAGCAATAACAAATTCTTTCGAGCGATAATCAAAACGGAATCAGAACTACGAAAGAAAAAGACGAAAAAGAAAGAGGAATCTGAAGCAGTTAGGGAAGTAATAGTATTACCTCTGGTCTTCTTGTTCTCCGTCACTTTGAATAATCACCGGAACGTCTCTGATTGGTGAGTTCTCTTTACTTATCCTTTTACAAATTTTGTTTTGAACTCTTGAATCTGTGATAGAGAGCAAAACATGAGAATAAATTTGGAGCGTATGATGTCTGAAGAAGCTGGAGGTGTTTGAAATTGAGACGATGGCGAGAGGAGATAAGTCTCCTTCGTGAATGGAGATGAGTGACTGTACCATATTGAGAGGAGATGGTTTGTGATTGAAACAGAGATGCAAAGTGGCAGTGGCATTGGCGTTCATCGGCTGAGAAGAAGGAGTCGATCGGCCACTGTTGAGGAGAGAGCAAAGAGGATCGTGTGAGAGAGATGAAGAGCCACGACTTGTTACCCTAATCCCTCTTTTCATTTTCTTTATTTTTTATTTTTTTTTATTTTTTTCTTTGAATAGTAATCATAATAATAGTATAATCTGGAATAAAGATGGTGAAGTAGATTTTGGTTGTAGAATATGGGTTGGACTGAATCATAACCCTCATTGGCCCTTTCCTTATTCATTTTTTGTGACTAAAGAAGCTTGCAACAAAAAAAAATCTCTTGGGCTTGGCATTTGTACATAATTCCATTGGCTTGTCCCTGATTTTTGGTAATTAGAGTGGATTACAACAAAAAAAAGAGCTTATAGACTCTATTTGGTTGGGCTTTTGGAACTTGTTGAACACTACCCCTAACTTCAGTATAGTATCCCCTGAGTTTACTCTTTCAATATTTCCCTTTGAATAAATTTTGCGAAATTGTTTAGATTTTCTTGAACTTTTTCATTACATGATAAAAAATAAAATAAGATATAAAAATTTGTTAGATTTTCCTTATTTTTGATTATAGGAATTAATTCATGGTTATCTGATTATTTGAAATTCGTGATTCACCTTTGCTTGTTGAGATTTGAGTCTTATGCAAGGTTATTATGCGGATGCGCTTGAGATTTCGATTGTGATTTATTTTTGCATCAATAATGCTTCGACACTTATTCTGAGTATTCGGTTTCTGACTTTTTTTCTTTGATTGGTGAAGCTTTTCACAAAGATCGTTGGGTTTCTTTGTTTTGATGCACTTTGCTATGAATTGATATTCGTTTGGTATTTTCTCTTGTTTATCTCACTTCGCAGTGCTTTCTAGATATCATGAGGAAGCAGGAAATAAAGAGCATGCACTCGAAGTCGTTGTTTAAAGACCTGTAGCAGGCATTTTGCACTTCATTTTCTATATGTGTTGTGCTTGTTTTTGTGTTTGTTAATCGATGAGTCACTTAATTTAGAAATTGAGATCACGACTTCGCTCTCAGTGCATGCTCCCTATAGGACTTTATCGCTTCCTTTTATTTCCTATTGATCGATGAGTCACTCAATTTAGAAATTGAGATCATGACTTCGCTCTCATTGCATGTTCCCTATAGGATAGTTTTGTTAAAACATGCATGCTAACGTTAGGTAGATATTTCCCTTTCATTCATCCTGGACTTAGGGCTACCATTGTATGATAACATTAAGTTTAGAAATAGGCTAGTCTCCTTTTGACTTTTCTTCCCCCTTTTGCATATGAATTTAAAACAAAAAATTTCTTTTTCTTACAAACTTCAAAATACTTAAAAATTACTGATGAGAATCACATCTTTGTTAAGTATGAGAGATGATAAGCAGGTTTCTTCTCGACCTTATTGTTCTCTTATTCTAAGCTATGGTATGGTTCAATTCTCAAAGACTCATTTCATGATTATGTAGAGAAATGGCTAATATCTCTCTCTTGAGATTAACTAGTTGTTATCTACAAGCAATAACACCAACCAATACAAACTCTTTTTGCCTTCGGGCTTTTCTTTCAAACCTTTTTCAGAAAGAACATGTTTATTCACTTCTGTGCTGACGCGTAAGTCTCCAAAGGTCGAGTTGCAGCAGAAGGAAAAATTAATATTGTTCATTAAAAAAATACAAACTAACAAAAACATTTGAAGCCGAACTACGACTGTTCTGATTCCTTAAAAGGGATACGTAGGCATTGGGGTAAGGCCCGAATGAGCACAATTTTTATTTTCCCTACATTATTTTCTCCTTTCTTTTGCATGCATTCGCCCTTTAGCGGTAGTAAACAATAAGCATAGTTTGAACACACCCATAAGATAGATAACAAGAGAGAATACCGTAGAGTACTACGGGTGTGTGGGGTGCTAATACCTTCCCCTCGCGTAACAGACTCCCTTACCCGTATCTCTCGGTTTCAAGACCGTGACTTCTCCCTTCTTAGGTTTTCTCGATGTTTACCTTTCCCTTCATGTGGGATAAAATACGTTCTATGGTGACTTCATTGTTTGATGATTTTCGGCCGATTGTTTCAGTTGGCGACTTCACTGGGGACGGGTCAACCAAATGCTGGTCCATCCCGGAGTCACTCCTAGCTCTTGTTTCATTTTCTTTGGGTGTTTATTCTTTCTGCTTTTGGTTTATCCATTCATTTTGTATATACTTGAGCATATGTTTGCCTTGCATTTTACGACTTTCCATATTGGTTATCTGTTGTACTGGATCTGCTTTTCGATTGGGTGGGGATGTTACTATCAAGGTAAAAGGCCCAGTACATAGGCCAGAGTGCACTAGGACACTAGGAATATAGTGGGGGCATGACGACTATAGGGCGTGGTCCGACTAGTGCAGTCATGTCATATACCACGCTCGGGTGAGGTTCAATTGAAGGTAGTTTCATCATGTACGTCTGTGTTGCGTTGATTTTACTTTCAAACGAACCCGTGATTTTCGAGTTACCCTTGCCTTACCCTAACCTAGTCTTCACCCGTGAGTGGGGAGGGAATTCTTATCACAGGTACAGTTGGTGACTATATTCAGACGATTACTTATGTTTAGATAGTGACCATCGGTTCTAATGATTATGTCCTGGATTTCTGCCGGTAATTATGAGGTTCCCAGATTTATTTTCTAAGGTTTCGAATCTGATCTCCATGGAATTCTCCCGGTTACATTCCAAACCTGTAATTCTGGTATTAATAGACTATGCAGAGACAGTACAACAGAAATTAGTATCATGGAAGTAGTAACCCCATTCTTATTTGCACGTACATCATAGCATATTTACTTTTCAAGAAATATATATATATATATATATATATATATATATATATATATATATATATATATATATATATATATATATATATATATATATATATATATATATATATATATATATATATATATATATATATATATATATATATATATATATATATATATATATATATATGTCAATGATTAATTTGCATGTGCATTGTCATTTCCAGGATCTCCCTAGAGTTTTCTTTTCCTCTAAAGAATGGCAAACAACATTGATATCGTCCTAAAGACAAAGAGGGATAACTTCAGCTATCAGTTTCATCCTAGTATTTGGCCCTCTCTTGAAGAACTCAGAGACCTCATGAATTTTCAACAAATGGGTGTTTTTGGTGAAAGATATGGAAATCTCCTATCTTTGTTGGATGCTCGGGTTGACGATAAGGTTGTTCAGATCCTGTTACAGTTTTATGATCCGGAGCTGCGTTGTTTCACATTTCAGGACTACCAGTTAGCACCTACTCTTGAAGAGTATGGTCATCTTCTCCATATTAAGTTCACTAGTCATACTCCATTTGTTCGAGTCCCTATCGAGCCTGACTATGAGCCCACTGCTAAGGTTCTTTATTTGAGCCTTAACGATGTAAAAGGAAAATGGAGACGTAATAAAGTCACTTGTGGTCTTCCTATAGATTTCTTGGTAAGTAAGGCTAAGGAAATGGCAAACATAGGACATTGGGATGCTTATTATGCTATGTTGGCTGCTACCATTTACGGAGTTATCTTATTCCTCGAGATTAAAGAGATAGTAGACTTGGCTGCTCTATGTGTCTTCATGAATAAGAATCCGATACCTACACTATTAGATGATACTTACCACGCCATCCACTCTAGGCATGGAAAGAAAGGAGTAGTGGTATGCTGCGTTCCAATACTTTACAAATGGTTTATAGCACAATTACCCACCAAAGGGCCATTCAAAGAAGACCCTCGTTCATGGGCATCCAAAGTAATGACACTCACCTCTTTTGATATTCAATGGTACAAACTTAAGGTTCATAGCACCGATGTCATCTCTCACTGTGCAGGTTTCTCTAATGTTCCACTCATAGGAACAAAAGGGGTTATCAACTATAACCCAATACTTACTCTTCACCAATTAGGTTATGCCATGAGGCGTCCACCCACGGCCAAAGAGGTCAAACCTGTGTATCGCAAAAATGGAGAAGATCTGGAATTATTGAAGAAAATGGAGATTGCTTGGGCACATGTTGGTAGGAAAGGAAAGGAATTCTTCAGGTTAAAAGAGGTATCAACTTTCGATCCTTATGTGGATTGGTTGAAGGAAAGAGTCAAAACTCTTATGTTGCCTTTTGAAAAGGAAATATCCTTATATCTTCAACCCACTGAGCTACAGTACGATGTGCCTAAGGAACGCTTCTACCAAGTACAATTGGAAAACAGGGACCTTCGTCAAAATCTGGAAGACAAAAAAATGGAAATATATTTCTTAACAAAAAAGAAAAGGGACTTGGCCCATCAACTAAAAGAGTATGAAGGGGAAGGTAGATCCAAAAAATGACCCAGAGGCTGAAAACTCCTTTGTATCTATGGAAGAGTACCAAATAGCCCTCACCGATGCAGATAAGAATCGTTAAGAAACTTTGAAATTACAAATGGCCAACAATAGAAACAAAGCCAAAGATAAAGAGTTGGGAAACCAATTTAAAGCTGCTAGATTGGAGTTGGAGGAAAGAAGATCAAATGAATGAAGTGATGAAAGAGAGTGCAAGAGTCTGAGACAAAATAAAGGAGATGGAAGAAGCACCCGTACCTATACCTTTTCCAGAATGTAAAGAATGTGATCTCTTCCTAGAGCAATGCGTGTACTTGGAGGGACAACTGTTTCAGAAAGATGTGGTAATCGATAGCTTCGCTCGTGGATGGGATCGTGAAAATACAAAGAAATTATTCAAAGAAACCAAGGAATGGAGTGAAGAGTACTTCTGGCAAGGAGGACCACTACTACACATAGAGTAGAGATTCACCACTTTGATTGTCTTGTTCGCTCCTTTTGCTTTAATATCATTAGATCACCACCAGTCTTGTTGGATGGGGTTGTTTAATTTTCATTACGTATTCTGAATCATGCTTGTAAGAAGTTACCATTTGATCATATGAATGATATTTTAATGAAATCAATTGTTGTCGAATCTTTTTCTCGCCAATTGTCTCTCTTATCATGTTGTTTAAAATTCCTAGGGGTGATAAAACTTTGGGTGTCTTGGAA